TTTCCGGTGATGCCGACCTTCTTTGTGCGCTTCGTCATTTTGGCGGTTGTGATGAGTTGACGAGTGTGGAAGCGTCTGGGTGTTGAATTCGATGACCTTCAAAGTGGTGTGGGGCGCCAAAAATCGCTAAACCGGGGTCTTGGCGTGGTGCGGCACCGGAACAACCCTGCCTCCGGTGCGATAGGCCTGAGACACCGAGACAGAGCATTCCATTTGATTCTCGAAGTACTGCATCATTGTCGGCGGGTTCTGATCAGGCAGTTATGAGGGTTTGCATCACACAGATGCGACAACTGTATCCTACACCCGAGTCCCTCTGTCGCACTGTGTACAGCCGAGTCCTCTCGTTGATTCTAGCGCACTTCCAAACTGTTACTCCAACTAGAATGAGCATTGAATCCTCTCCTACTCAAAGCTGCGGTTGTATGAAAATCTGTCAGTCTGAGAGTAGTTCTCGTGGAGTCTCTAAGTTGGAACGCGCGGTTCAAGGGCACGAAGGGCTCGGCAGTGACACCTGAGTTTCGCAACAACATCTCAGGCACAGTACCGTCTCGCCTACTTGTCGCAACCCAGAGGCAACCAAGGGTGTGCCGCCGATGCGCGAATCTCAGTAAAGCCGATCGTTTGTTAGAAGCGCCCGGCTGCCTGATTGCCGAAACGAGATGAAACCAAAACAGCTGACAAGCACAGCCGGGCGCCAACAAACCACCCAAAATGGTGCGATCGTGCGCTTATCGTCTGGAGATCAAGCAGTATTCAGATGCCAAGGTCTATTCTCACCGGCGTCTGCCGGACACAACGGTCTTCCGGGGTTTGAGGCGCAGTGGACTGTGTGGGGAGGACTACGCGGCGTGAACATCGCCGTTGGAGTACAGAGTATGCAAACATGGTGGAGGGGACATATATCCTGGGGCTGCATTGTACTTTGAGAGGGAGTATGACAGCATCGATCAAGCACGCTCAACCCTAATCATTTCCACCTGGCATTCTCTCAAATCTACACAGTATGGCTATTCGTTTCCTCAAACATGCAACTTTTATTGCTGCTTTCGCAGCATTTGTCGCAGCGCAAGACGACACCATCATACCCGAAGACTTAAGATCAGGCTTCCGTTCAGGCGGAGACGAAGTACAGGTCTCTTTTACAGGCGAAGCAATTAATGGCTTCAAGGATGGGACCGTGTTCGAGAAAAATGGTTAGTCTTTTAGCTCAACCTAGGCTATAAAATCTAACATCGTGTAGCTGTAGCAAAGGAGCCCACATTCGCTCTTGGCGACAGCAGTGGCATCTCCCCCGGCACCCTGTACACGATCATCATGGTCGATAGCACATGTCCAAATGCTCGAAAACTCCACTACGCTCGGGCGAACTTCAAAAACAACTTCGACATCACCAACATAGAAACTGATTCACCTGCTGTTCTGGATTACGTTGCTCCTGGCTCCGTCGGCGAGAAAGGAGACGACCGACAGTACAGTTTCCTGATGTACACGAACCCAGGACGGAAAGAGATTACGGATCTGCAACTGCCAGGAGACGACGAGGCCTTTGATATCACGAAATTCCAAGATGATAATGGGTTAGGGGACGCGATGGCTGGAGTAGGGATGGTTGTGAAGCTTGGTGGTCAGGCAGATTGTGCAGGTGGTAGTGCAGAAGCGTTGCCTAGTAGCCTGCCAACACCGAGACCAGCGAGTAGCACGACAGTCAGGGTGTCTACTGCTACTGGTGGGTCAGATACGGCTGCGAGCGCTACACCCACGGACGATGCGAACGCGCCTGGAGACGCGGACTCGGCTTCTTCAGCTGCGACCCCTACCCCTACCTCAGCAGCATCGGGTAGGCCAGTGAACTCGGTCGTCCCATCGAGCGGCGTTTCTCCATCGTCAGCCGCAGAGCCGCCGGCTACTGTATCAACAATTGTGTTGTCTAGTGCGGAGGGAACAGGTTCTCCAACGGCAGCTGCTACTGCGCCAGAGCAGACTGCGAATGCTGCCCCGGGAAAGATGTATTGGCCACGATGGGCTATTGCTTCGATGTTGTTAGTCTCTGGTAGCATGATCATGTCATGAGTCAGGGTGTAAACGGCAATACCATGTAGAAATGAACACCGACGTTTCTTTAGCGTTGCTTTATTTCACATGTACAACAGTACGAACTTAAGTATCTAATCGCCTCCAAGCGAACCCATCATTGCAACTTCCACGCAGGCCCGTTCTGTACTTAGTCTGGCCGCTTTCTATCTACAATCATTATACAACTACCACGTTACATCTTGATCCTCCGTTTACTCTTTGACAGCCTCGGCGTAACTCTTGTCCAATGAGGCGTTCTTCTTGATCAGCTCTCCAACGATAAACGGTAAACAATCCTGGGGACCGTAGTACTTTAGATCAAACTTATCCCATTCACCTGCATCTTTCAAGAAGTCTGGCGTATGCCTCTGAAGCTCACACCCACCCATGAAGAATGGCCACCCAAGAATCGTATACACCAGTTGCATGAAGCGCGCAGCGACTCTGCCTTCGGTCCTCCAGGGATTCACTACGTGCTCGCAGATCACCATCCGGCCGCCAGGCTTGAGAAGGTTGTAGAGTCCCTTGATAGTCTGCTCTGGGTGGGGAACGCCACAAAGCACGCGAGTGCAACAGATCTCATCGAACACACCATCAGATGCCAACCCGCCTTTTCCACTGACATCCAGAATCCCGCTCTTGTGCAATGCTGGAATTAGACTCTCTGGCTCTGCACCACAGACCATGGCATGGAACTTGCTACCAAACCCTCTCTTCTCCGCGTTCTTCAGCAACCCTGGATGCAAGTCTTCGGCAGGCTCAGCCCCGTACACAGCAGAAATGATATCCGGGTTGAAACGTGAAAGCATCTCTCCGGATCCAGGGCCGATGTCGAGGACTACGCCTTTGCACTGGGACAAAAGCGAGAATGTAGGGCCGGGCATTTCAGCAGACATTGCTTCGCCGTTGTTCTTCCAGAGGCGGGCGAAGGCCTTGAAACGGAGTTTGGTAATGTTGAAGAGCGAAAAAGGGCGCCAGTCATAGAACACGACTTCAAACATGGTCATTACGAAGTCTATGTACAAGTCAGTTTAGGTGCCCTGAACGATAGTTGCAATGCTACTTACGATATGCTGCTATGAAAAGCAATATGGACGGACGAAGAAGCGTCGGAATGTGCTCGCCCAGCCATTGTGATGCTGTCATGATATCTTTGAATCCCGAGGTCCTGTATATCTCAAATTTACGATATAGTGTACTTCGGAAGCGGATCCGCGGTCGCAACGGCAATTAATCGATGAAGATACAAGTGCAAAAGTGGAGGAAAGGAAGCAGAATCCAGAATCCAAAAAGGAACATCATCAGCTAGGCTCCATATCCCAATGGAACGCTCGGGAACAAATGCTAGTCAGGCATTTTGGTAGTCGATGACATGATAGGTCAGTTGGGGGGTTCAAGATACGGACATGGCGTGTGTGACGTCGACGCGCTAGTGGCAGGGACAACCGAGGCGCGCATCGCGAGCTGTGACGTCTGCTACCATCAACGCATTGGCAGCTGTCAACACACAATGGCCGAAGGAAAGAGAACGCAATTTGCTTTAGTCACGGGGTAAGTACTTCTACAAGTCGCCACAGTCGTAGGCTTAGCTCCTTCCAGCTCCAACTGACGCGAGCAGCTGTACGCCCGGCGGCATTGGGCACTATCTTGCACTGGAATTCGCCGAACGAGGTCCGTATAACACCATGTCTTCACGATTCTTGGTTGCTAATTGGCGTATATAGGCTTCCAAGTCTTGGGTACCGTTCGCGATCCGTCCAAATACACCTCGCCGCACCCCAGCATCACATATCTACCCCTCGAACTCCCCCACAAGGAGTCCATTCGCGCACTCCACCAGCGCGTCACCGAGATCACGGGCGGAGAACTCGACATACTGTACAACAATGCCGGACGCAACTATGTCGTACCAGCGCTGGACTACGACGAGGATGAGCTGCAGGAACTTTTCCAAGTCAACGTCTTCTCCGTCATGGAGATGTGCAAGACCTTTACCCCTCTTGTGGTCGAAGCGAAGGGTACAATTGTACAGACAGGGTCGTTAGCTGGTATCATGCCCTATGTTTGGGGTGCGCCATACAATGCTTCTAAGGCTGCACTGCACGCCTACTCCGACACCCTACGTGTCGAACTCGCTCCGCTAGGCGTGCGCGTCATCAACGTCGTGACTGGCGGCGTCACATCGAACATTGCGCGAACACATCGAACTCTGCCACCGGGCTCCTACATGCAACCGCTTGCTGCCGAGTACGAGCGAAGATTGAAACACAGCCAAGAATTGGGCATGGATACCAAGCAATACGCAAGCAGCTGCGTGAGGCAGGTGCTCGCTGGAGACGGCATACTCTCCAAGACGAGATGGATATGGGAGGGCAAGATGAGCTGGGTCGTGTGGTTCGCGTGGACGTATCTACCGACTGCGGCGCTTGATCTTTACTTCACCAGGACGTTCAAGCTGAACAAGCTGAGAGGGACAGCTGGACCGGATAAAAAGACGCAATAGGGAAATGCGATGGCCATGAGCGGCTGCATTACAGTCAACACTGGCCGTCTGACAGAACTGAGACGGTGCCAAATAGGCCCACTTGCCGTGTGATTGAATCTCTTTCTGGAACTGGTCGCTATGTGGTCTGAATATGATCAGAACATAGCAAATTTCACCTTCCGAAGATGAAGACTTATGCGCCGATGGGGCCATATTGAACAGGATAACATACGTCATATGTGCCCGGTGCAAGCGAGTGTACCTGTCGTTTTTGAGAGGCACGGTTTGAACGACTGAACATCGTTGCCCGGCAACATGCCTGCATCCGCCGAGAGTCTCATCCACGCATGAATCTCCCATTTTTTTGCTGAAAACGACGCTCCAACCTTTACACGCGCATATTCCATACGCATACCATCAATGGGCGTAAACCCACAGCATGTGCGCCGAGATCATTGCAAGTCATTCTATGCTCCACGCCCTTCCCAATGAAATCCTCACTCTTATCTTCGATCACTTGTTCGACGATCAGCGCCAGCAAGCTGAGCTGGATAATGATGTTCGCGAATACGACCTTCCAACCACCTACTTAACACTCTACGCTTTAGCGCGCACCTGTCGCGGTCTGTCTCAAGTCGCAAGGGACATTCTCCGTCAGAAATGCGCATGGGAATTCCGGCACCCGATCGGACCTTTCGCACAACGAGCACAGACCGAGCGTTATCATGGTAAATATCCAGATTGCAGGCAAATAGAGGTGTTGAGCGATGCTAGGTGGGATGGAAGGTCATTTTACGACGGACTGGCAGAAGAAGAGCTCAAGGCAGCTTTGGCGACCCAAGAAGATTGGCCAGAGAATGTATGGGAAATACTTGAGAAAGATCCCGCTCAAGTTCAGCTCGCATTACTTGTCGCGAGATCACCCAACCTGCGAGAGTTCATTATGGGCGCTCTGCACATAGAAATGGCGCCCGACGATCTCCCCATATGGCTTTATCCTATCATCCAGGGTGCGCACAGCAACTTGGTCAACGTCACACACGATCCAGTCTATGGCAACCTCCAGATTGTCGACATAGACATGCAGAATGTCATTACCCCTCTTGTAGGCCACCTTTTTGCTTTACCGCTTTGGGCCAGTTGCAAACCATGTGTCAGACTGGTTCCGCATCAGCACTCGTGGCTGCAGGCAAGTTCGCTGAAGACGCTGCAGCTGGACATGCTAGAGGATTTGCCTGCGATGTACATGGTGTTTGCTCAAGGGCCTGATCAGAGAGTATCGGGGAAGCGACAAGATGAAGGTGTCAACTGAGTAGAGCTGGAGAGGAGGTGGACAGGTGAGATTCTTGGTTGACTTCCAGTCATGATGTTGGGCTAGATGCATCCTCTTAAAAATTACGATGCACCTGTCCGATGAAATGGATCTTAACATCAGATCACCGGTAGATGCCAATACCGCTTTGAATCCATGCTATAATGCATACGCTTGACTGTGTATATGAGGCAATGCTGGTATATGATCTATATTCTATCATCACCCATGCCTATCTTACAGGTTCAATATCTACACCCCCAACACACCCCTCAACCCCCTAACCTTCCCCCTCAAATCCCCATACCCCAACCAAACAATCCCCTCCGCCATCTTCCACGCCTTCTCCCCCGCGCCCTCCCCTCTCAACGGGATATCCATAGGCGGCGGAATCGCCGTCTTAATCCCCGCCCAAGCCCACCGATCCCTCGTAATACTCTTCTGATTACACAGACTCCTCAATCCCTCTTTACCCGCAAAGCGCCCATATCCACTACCCTTTGTACCGCCAAACGGCATCTGAACCATGTAGTAGACTGCAAAGTCGTTGACGGCGACCATGCCGGCTTGTAGGGAGCGGACGACGAGTTCGAGGTCGCGGGTCGAGGTGCCGAAGACGGAGGAGCCGAGGGCGTACGTGGTGCTGTTCGCGATTGTGATGGCGTCTGTGACAGACTCGGCGCGCATGAGGAGGAAGACGGGGGCGAAGAGTTCGGTTTGGGCGATCTTCATGGCTGGGGTTACGTCGGCGATGAAGGTGGGTGTGAAGTAGTGGCCTTGGGGGTGATCGGGGTGGGTGTAGCGTCTTCCGCCTGCTAGCAGGCGGGCGCCGTTGTTGACGGCATCTTGGATGAGCTCTTCGAGCTTCGTGTAACTCGCATCGGAAATCGATGCGCCGATGTCGATGGGCGTGTCTGAGGTGTTGTTGAGAATGGAGCCTGGACGGAGCGCAAGGATCTTGGGTGTGAGGTATTCGATGAAGCGGTCGTAGACTATGGGTAGGGCGATTACGCGCTCGATGCCAATGCAGTTCTGGCCTGCAGACTGGAATGTGCCCCTCATGAGGATACTGGCAACACGCTTGAAGTCGCTGTTGGATAGATCGTCCAGTACTATCGCTGGGTCTTTGCCGCCCAGTTCCACACACACTGGTGTCAATGCCTTCGCCGCCGATGCGCAGACATGGTGTGCCACTGGCCGCGATCCGATAAAGGTTATGTGTGATATCGACGGGTGCGAAGTAAGGTGATCGGCGACGTCAGGCCAGCAGACAACAGACTGGACGATGTCGGGCGAATGACCGCATGCTTCGAGAGCGCGTGTAGCGATCGAAGCGAAGTATGACGAAGACCAGGCAGTCGCTTCCGAGCCTTTGACTATGATGGCGTTGCCGGCGAAGATGGAGGCTATTACGGGGCTTATGAGATTGTGGAAGGGGTAGCTGTAGGATTGTTAGCCGCCATGATCAGATGCAATGATGCTCGACACTTACTTCCAGCTCACGCAAGCCGCAACGACGCCCAGCGGCTCATAAACAACCTCGTTCCACTTGTACATCATGAGGAAGTTTGTGTCTCTCTTCTCAGCCTTCAAGCTCTTCTCGCCGTGTTTGATCGTCCACCTTAGCTTCTCCACTGTCACCAGAATCTCGCCCAGACTCGCGTCTACCATGGTCTTGCCAGAGTCCAGACATGCGACTCGCGCAATCTCCTCTTGGTTCTCCAAGATGAACTTGAGCATAGTGCGCAGCACCTTTCGTCGCCTGAGGAAGCTTGTCTGAGCCCATTGTACCTGGGCGGCCTTGGCTTTGGCGATTGCGCGGTCGATACCGTCGGCCGTGGAGGGGTTGATGCGCCCGAGGGCTTCACCAGTCGCGGGAGCGTAGCATTGGATCAGAGAAGAGCCCGGTACCTGCTCAAGTCAGCTACCGAGATCGAAACATAGGGAGTACATGTGTACCTTCAACTGCGGCTTCTCAAGCACCTGGCCCTTCCATCCTTTGCGTGCCTGCTCAGGTGTGTCGACTTCATACTTGACAGGCTCCTCTGGATCAGCACGACAAGTAATCCAGATAAATGCAAGCGCAGCTATCCAGAGCGCGCCGTATAAAGGGACATTGAAGTCGTTGTCAGCGCGTGCGGTAATGCGGTCCATGGTGCCGATGACGGTCTGACCAGATGTCGCGTGGTCCAAGAAAGTCCGATCCTGGCCGCCTGGACCCTGAAACGCCATCCCAACGCGGATGCGCTAAGACGCGTGGTCATCTGAAACTACTGCAGGCGTCGAGGGCATACTTGACCGGACGAATCACTCCTCCACCCCATTTCCAATTCCCATACTCACGCTCGGTCAGACATTCCCGAGCGAATTGCGTAGAGCTTTTTACTTACGCTGTTGGGTAATTTGGAAGAAGTGTTGATTGCAGTGGAAGACGTCCCGTAGCCACTCAGCGCGCTTTTCTGTGAACTGCCATCCATAAGCCTATGTGACAGCTGCGTAAGTCACGTTCCTGACTTCATCAGGTCCAAAGGCTCTCCTGTTGTGGTGACACCTGCAATAATAAGCACTTCGCGCTAGCGTACAGCATAATCAGCAACAAGAGTAGGTGTTTCACTGATGGTATTGTTCGTCATAAGATCTGATCTCATATATCATACATCCTTCATAGCCACGGTTCCCTTTCCATGGGCCTTGGCGATCTTCTGATTCTTCAAAAACTTAACCCTTCGAGACCGCACTTACTTTGCGTTGTTCTTGGGCGCCTCGGTAGGTGGTCCGTCAGGCGTGGTGTAACACCTGGTCATGCCACCATCGATGACGAAATCGGTGCCGTTGACGAAGCTGCTCTCATCGCTGGCAAGGAAGAGGACACCCTGCGCCTGCTCGATGGCCTCGCCGAAGCGACCAGTGGGGAAGTGGACTTCGCGACGGTGACGCTTAGCCTGGTCATCACCAAGCCAATCTTGTAGGAGTGGTGTGCTGTTACTGTCAGTATATCACAAGTAGCAAATGATTGGGAGTGAACCTACTTCAACGGTGCTGGGCATAGAGCGTTGAACCTGAAGCCCTCACGTGCGTGAACCATAGCCAATTCTCGTGTCATAGCCAGTACGGCACCCTTGCTGGCGGTGTATGCGAGTTGAGGTGTTGCGCTACCGACCAATGCGACAACGCTGGCGGTGTTGATGACACTGGTCTTCTTCTTGCCGTTCTTCCTGAAGCTGTTGACTGCGTGCTTGCAGCCGAACCAGACACCTTTGACGTTGATGGCTTGAGTCAGGTCCCAGATCTTCTCTGGTGTGTTGACGGCGTCATCATCGTCCGAGTGCATAATGCCTGCGTTGTTGAACAGTACATCCAGACCACCCCATGAGTCCACGTGCTCAACCATAGCCTGTACGTCGGCCTCCTTGGAAACATCGGTAATCTTCGTCTCGACCTTCTTGGCCTCTGGGACTATCTCTTTCAGCTTGGCCGAAGCCTTCTCCAGGGCTGGGCCTGAAATATCAGAGAGGAGGACATTGGCGCCTTCCCGAGCAAAAAGAATGGCAGTCTCGAGACCGATACCGCTAGTGATCGTCAGTAGGAAGTTGCGGTATGCGGTATGATTCTGTGCGTGCTGCTCCCCGCGTTGAAAAATGAACACATCGGCGTTGAAGCCAGTAACGAAACATGGTCAAAAGGGTAGATGGCTGCAAAAGAAATGCTGGTAGGAAATGTGTCGTGGTACGTGCGGGATCGGTGCTTACCCAGCGCCTCCAGTGATGATGCAGTTCTTGCCTTCAAGACGACCCATGTTGAATGTTTGGTCTGGTTATTGTGCTGATAGAAGTGTAGTGAAGGTGCTGCAATGCGGTTAATGGATATGAAGGGTGAGGCAAAGTTTTGTGGAAGCTGTGAGATATGACTAATATTTTGCTAGAGGGAGCGTCATGAGAACAGCACACGGGCCTGTGAATGGGGAAGGTTTGCCAAAGGCGCAAACAGTACCAGTCTCCACACTCACCTATGAATCGGACTTTGCAGTGCGGGCTGGCGTATGAGGAGCGTCGTCGGAATGGAGAGTGCGAGGAGATGGAGATGACGGACGGGTAGTCTCGGACAGCTCACAAGTCATTCAAACATCAAGGGTCCCGAAATCGGCCCATTGCATTGATAGACTACGATAAGGGCGGGCTATCGCGTTGGCGGCTGTCATCTTTGGGCACACGACGAAGGAGCGGTGGGCGAAGGCACGATAGCAGCCTCGAATTAACAACTGTCCTACACGGCATGGATGCGCCAAACGCCGTTACGCGTCAGGGCTGATGAAGTATGGCCACTACCCCGCCATGATGGATGACGTGCGTGTTTGCCCGTCTCTTGTATGCCGGCGCATCATCACGTTGTCGCATGGGGATTCATGTTGTCGCTTTGGGAGGGTGTCGAGGTGTCGCGTAGGAGAGAGATAGCACACATACGCGTGACTATGCAAGATATAGCCTGTACGCGCATGCAAGGCCAGGCTATGATGTCGTTGGATGCATCGCAGCCCGCATCCCGATAACCCCTCATTGGCCCACCCCAGCTGTCCCGCCTATCGCATCCTAAACGCCTTGGGCCCTTAAGCTCTCTATCCGCGCAAACCTGATTGCGACGCGATATCTCTTACCAACGGCACGACGCTCCTTTCACTCACAAGCTTCAACAGCTACATCGCTCCAGCCCCCTCCATCCTCACCATGGCCGCCGAATTCGATGCCTCCAAGCTGACGGCCGAGCAACTGCCCGAACTCCTCAAAAACGACCTCGCAGTCAAGGTCGCGGGCATCGATGTCGACGGCGTCCTGCGCGGAAAGCTCATGGCCAAGAAAAAGTTCCTCAGCATAGCCAACGAGGGCTTCGGTTTCTGCTCTGTCATCTTCGGATGGGACATGCACGACCAGACATACTTCAAGGAACTGGCCATCTCCAACAAGGAGAACGGGTACCGCGACTTGCTCGCCATACCTGACCTGACGTCCTTCAGGAGGATACCGTGGGAGGACAACGTGCCCTTCTTCCTCATCAGCTTCCACGACCCGGACACCAAGGGCACCCTCAGCGCATGCCCAAGGAGTCTGCTGAAGCGCGCTGTGGACAAGCTGAAGGAGAATGGATATGGCGCTATGGCTGGTGGTGAGTCTAATGCCGATTGAAGAGCGGGTGCTGCGCGTCGTCAATGAAGCTGATGTGTTACTGTGTAGCCGAGTACGAGTTCTACCAATTCCGCGCGCCCCAGAGCCACGATGGCTCAGAGAGGAACACGTCGAGCACCGCCGCCTTCTTGCGCGACAACCCCGTCAACTCGCTCCCAAGTCTTACCGAAGGCATGTTCGGATACAGCATCACGCGGCCCGTTCACAACCAAGAATACTACTACGGCATCTTCAACACATGCGCCCAGTTTGGCTGTGGCATCGAAGGATGGCATACAGAGTCCGGTCCAGGTGTCTTTGAAGCGGTGGGTATATCAATTCATGGATACAGGCAAAACAGACTGACACAGCATAGGCTCTCGAATTTGGAGAGATCCAGCAAATGGCGGACAAAGCGTCGCTCTTCAAATTGGTCGTCAAGTCGCTCGGATCCAAGTACGGCATAACACCGTGCTTCATGGCAAAGCCGCGCGAAGGCCTCCCAGGAAACAGCGGCCACATGCACGTCTCAATCGTGGACAAAGAAAACAAGAACCTCTTCTACCGAGGCGAAGAAGACAAGAACGCGCCATACTCAGACATCGCGTACCTTTCGGACCTTGGTCGGCATTTCCTCGCGGGTTTGATCGACGGTCTCCCCGACATCATGCCTATTCTCGCACCCAATGTCAACAGCTACAAACGGCTAGTAGAGAATTTCTGGGCACCTGTTACTGTATCATGGGGTCTCGAACATCGCGCCGCGTCCATCCGTCTCATTTCTCCTCCCACCTCTTCTGGTAAGGCAACCCGCTTCGAAGTTCGTGTGCCAGGTGCAGATACAAACCCGCACTTCGTTCTCGCTGCCATTCTAGCTCTCGGCTGGCGAGGTATCGAGAAGAAGATGGAGATCAGCATACCGCCTCTAGGCAAGGGCGAAGATGTTGGCGGAGAGGCGGATAAGGGCGAGCGCCTAGCCAAGAGCCTGAAGGAGGCCACAGAGCGGTTCATGAGGAAAGAAAGTGTCGCGAGAGAGGTATTCGGCGATCAGTTTGTGGACCACTTTGGCGGCACCAGGCAACATGAGATTAGGCTGTGGGATGAAGCCGTGACTGACTGGGAAGTGAGAAGGTATATCGAGACGGTGTAAGTTCTGAATCGTGATCAAGGTAAGATTAAGGAAAGAGGTGGAACTTTGCGCTATGTAACCTACCGTTGGCTCTATGATACCACATTCCTATCCGCGACACGCGTTATCTTTGCATTGACCAATGCTGTTTCCAAGAGTTGAACATCAGTTCCAAGGCTTCAATACCAGCCCCAAGACTCGAATGCGAGTAGCCTCGGAAGCATTGACGCCCAGAGCAATATATCCGGGAAAATTTCCCGGTGCGTCATTAGCGGCAACGAGAAGTCACACTACACATGCAACTACCTGATCCTACCAAGCATCACTAGAACACACGAGGCTACCGTTCGGCGGGCACTGCGCCGAAAACTTGAAGTCTGGGGTAGATCGCCGTTCACGATGCGGAGGTATTCCATGGCGGATGCAATTATCCCGCTAAGGCGTGCAGGAATCTTGGAAGGTATTTAAGTCGACGAAAAAATGAACGCAATGATGTCTTTGGATGCGCCTATGTTGTCTATAGATCAAGATGAAGGCAATCAGCGTCGTCGTAGCGTATCTTGCCACGCGTGTAAGTGCTGCAGTAACTCAACGTAGCCACACAGTACTTTCTTCAGGTACGTCAACCTTGCATTCATACTCCACATCCATGCCTTTTAACCTTCTTACTCAGACGCACAAGATCTCTTCGACTGGTCTATGCACATTCAAGACAACCGCTATGACGCCTCTTACAACTTCATCCAGTACTCCGACAAAGGACCATGGTCTGTTCGCTTCACAGCGTGGTATGTAGCTGGATTATTGCACAGAAACCAGGGAGACGATGTGAAGCACGCAGAAGCTTCTATCAGGAATATGTACGTCTGGTATGGAATGGGGAGGTGAAGTACAAGAAGAGAATGACTGACAATGCGGCACTAGACTTGCTTGTCAAATGACAGATGATTTCGACGCTCCATGGTACGGAACATACAAACTGTCCCCTGATGAACCAGACCCGACGTTTGATTCGGAATTATACGTACCGAAGATATACGTACGTTGACCAGCATCTACCATCACTCCCTCCAACCATCATGCTAATACACTTCCCCTCAAAGACGACCTACGACCCCAACTGGCGCGACTTCATCGGCACACAACTAATCCAAATCCTCTCCGAATTCTCGCCCCTCCTTTCCCCCTCCCTCATAACCTCTATCGAAGATTCGCTCGAAGTCGCCGCCGTAGGCAGTATGCGTCGCAACGGCACCTACCCCACAATCGACGATAATCTTACAATCGGCTACACAAACCCAGCTATGATGCGCGCTCTCCTCTGCGAATACATCGGTACACGGCGATCCAACTCAACGTTCACGTCTTTCGCAGAAGACCAAGGAAAGAGGATATTACAGTTGTTCCAGAGAGAAGGCGCAGAGACGGTTAGCGAGTACAACGCGCCTACATACTACGGCATCGACGTCTGGGCCATGGGTGCGCAGATCAAGTACGGTGTTGGTAACTCTAGCATGACGAAGGCTGCGAAGTATATCCTGCCGCGGATGATGGGTGATTTAGCGGATCATTATAATGGGTATTTGGGGAATGTGGTGGGTCCGTATGACAGGGCGTATACGAGGGATATTACGCAGCATTCTTCTGTTTTGTCTTTGGTACTGTGGGGTCTTTGGGGCAGGGAGCGGACGAGCCAGCCGAAGAAGATGGAGGGGGATTTGCTGTTTGATGTTGCTCAGGGAGCGGCTATAGCACTCGTCCTTGGTGGTGTGGAGGAGCTTTTGCCAGCGCATGTGGAAGAAGCGTTTACGACGAGGGACTTTATCGGTGAGCTGAGGTGGCTGAATCGTACGGTTTGGGATGAGCTCGAGGGAGGTGAACCGAGGATCGCGTCCAGTTGGGTGAGCAAAGAGTTGATGATTGGCGGGCAACAGGTGGATGAGGATGTGAACAGAGGGGATCAGTTCGTTCCTGCTATTGTTCATTGGGCGGGTGATAAGGAGCATAAGCCTTATCCGCTTAATACCTTCTTCGCCCTCTACCCGTCTGCGTCCTCGATCCACGCTGTCGCCTCGCCGAATCATCTCTCCGTTAGCTATCCCAACCGGACGCAGGAGGGAAGCGATATCTTCACGTTTGCGCTGTCGAATGTGCCGCCGAGTTGGACGCTGGGAACCGGAAGACGGATTACGGGATTTGAGGATTTGCCGTGTGTGGAGATTGAGGTTGAGGCGGAGGGCTTGGTGAAGCAGAATGTGACGTATGGTACGGCGCTGAGGAACCATCTGTTCTACAACATTTCGTATGTGGTCCCGGAGGATTTCGAGGGAGTGCCGAGGGTGGAGTTGGATATCAAGTATACGTGCTAGCTAGCTGGCGACGTATGACATATCATGGCTGTCCATTCGAAGGGCCCGTATCTCCGGCACTCAAATTGTCGTAGTTTGCTAGCAAGTGACTCTTTTCGCCGTTGGAGATCAGCCCATGAATGCTTGTCGCGATGTCGTGGGTTTATGGCTCAAGCATCAGACCTCTTCCATCGCATCCTTTTCATGTTGCCCAAAGAGCTCTTCGACCAACCCAACGAACTCGGCCATGGCAACTTTCTCTCCGTCTTTCCCCTCTCCTTCTCTTATACCTTTCAACTCCTCCATCGCGTCCTTGTCTCCCTTTTTCTGGGTCCAATACTCTTCCTTCTTCTCTTGCCCTCCATTAAAACCTCCACGTCCACCTCTCCAGGCTCCTCGGCCCCTTCCTCTCATACCTCTTCCTCGTGAGGCGTTCCGTTCGAGCATGCGTCGCCGACTCTCAGCTTCAGGGTCTGGCTTTATCGTCTTGGCGTATACGCGTTGGAGTGACGGGAGTAGTGTGGGGTGTGTTTTGAGTAGCGCTTGGAATTTCGGATTCGTTGCTAAGACGGAGAAGTCTGTTCGCTGCTTTAGGTAGCGCGGTACTGGGGCGGGAGGAGGTGGTTGTGGGAGAGCTGGCTCTGCTGGCTTTGGGGCGCCTGATGCAGTTTCGGGATGTGTGGTTTTGTGCGATTTGAAGCATGATAGTGAACAGCTATACGCGGTCAGTATGTAGATCCAAGAGATCACAAATGGCAACGAACTATGGAAGCGCGCAAGTCGGGCACTTGTATTTCTTGGGCTCTGCATTGCAGACGCCGCAGAGGACTTCTGACATTGTGCTGTTTGTTGGTAGGGATCGCAACTTCAAGACTAGGAAGGAAAAACCGAATGCGTATCGTATGAATGGTTGTGCTGAGAGTGTCGAAGATGACGTCCGCAATCGCTCGCGACTTTTGCGCTCCAAGACGCGTTCCTAATCGGGCTAAATCCCGCGGCGAACTTCCATTGCTCATCACTCCGCCGAGGTTTCCTCCATTGGCTCGTTGACTCTTACAACACAACATGTCTGCCGCATCGCCATTACGACAACTTCCCTCACGGTCGCTGGGATCCTGGACTTGCCTGTCATGCTCTCGCTCGCTCCATAGGATACCGCGCCCCCGCAATCCCGCCTTGACCGCACGAAGATGGATGAACAGCACAAATCCCGCGCGGCAGCATGGCACCGTGCCAAGAATGGACCAGATGCATGCGCAATATAAGATGAAGAACCGCACAGTCATGTATGCGCAAGAATCTGTTGGCAGGAAGCGCAAGCGCTGATAATAGTATAGGAACTATGTCTTCAGTGTGATAATAGGCTTCACAGCGCTTAGTTATGGCTCAGTGCCGTTTTACAAGATGGTATGGTTATAGATCATCACCTTGTCGGCAGAAACCCAATCTAACGTACTCTCCAGATCTGCCAGGAAACCGGTTGGGGAGGCCAGCCCATAAAATCAGCGGCCCACGGCGGCGATACTTCCGTCGATCCCTCCGAGCGCCTAAAGCCCGTCGAACACCACCCACGTATCCGAATTACATTCAACGGCTCCGTATCCGACGTCCTACCGTGGAAGTTCGTTCCTCAACAACGCGAAGTCCGAGTCCTCCCCGGCGAGACCGCTCTCGCTTTCTACACCGCGACCAACAAATCGTCAGAAGATATCATTGGCGTAGCTACATATTCTGTCACACCAGGACAGGTCGCCCCATACTTCAGCAAGATCCAATGTTTTTGCTTCGAAGAGCAGAGATTAAATGCTGGGGAAACGGTGGACATGCCCGTCTTCTTCTACATCGATCCCGAATTCACAAAGGATATTAACATGAAGGGTATTGCGACCGTCACACTGAGCTACACGTTCTTCAAGGCGAAGTACGACAAAGACGGACATTTGACGCCTGTTCCTATGTGAGGAGGGATCGGGGTATGTACGATATGTGTACACAATACGTGCGGGAAAAAGAATCCACAATGTAAGGCTGATGTAGGAATGCTATTCACCGAGCACCACAACCCTTTACCTAAGCCATTTTCAAGCCAATTTGGGTTCGATTACAATGACAACTTGTGCCGTTCACTACACTACCGTTGTGAAATAGCATCGATCTATACAGTGCGGCACCAACTTCATAAGTATCTGGCCAATTTGGACGGTCAATCAATTTTACACAGAGCAGGCCTCTCCACCCTCAACTTCAGACTGCACAGTAAACCCTTCTCTAGGAGCTACTCGCTTACACATCCCTCATGGATAGACATGCAGAAGAGAAAGAGCTTCGGGGAAGCTATTACATCCACTGCCGCAACAGGGGCTACACCATCGACGAAGCCTCTGAGCGCAGCCTCAAATACGTCGAGCGTGTTCTCAACGCAGATTCAACCATCTCGAAAAGATATCTAGAAGAGCTATATCAAGCGAGTATAGCGCACCATAGGTACTCATCGTCTCCACTCTCGTATGATGATGACCCGCCGATGCATAGATCACGGAGGGCTAGAGATGGCGGTGGATACGATGCTTTTGGTGGCATCTCCGGTATGATGTGGAGTCTTTTAGACGACAATGACAGCATATTTGCAGAGATGCGACCGCAAGCTGAAGAAGATTGGAGCATACCAAGTGTACCAGAATATCGCGCTCCTCAGTACATCCCCTCCCATTACCACTACCAGGGCAATGTTCAGGAGCCGCAATGGCAACACGCGGAGGATCGGAGTACGCCGAGCTATCGCCGTCCGGATTACATCCCTTCTGCCTACGACGATCAGAGCCATGCTCAGCAATCGCGAGGAAACTCCGATAGATATACTGCTAGAGATTCTGGCCCACAGCGTGCTTTCTCTTATGGCCCACAGCGTGCATCCTCTTATGGCCCGCAGCGTTCATCCTCTTATGTCCCTCGTAACCATGCATACGGCTGGCCTTCCTCCAGTAGTCAAGACCGCAGGCCACCTTCAGGCTATCGGTATTGGACCACAGATTCGAGTCAACCCTCGTACTCTTCATCACCACCAAGCTACACATTCTACTCGTCGTCTGATTCGTACCCGACCAATACTTCTTATTCTTTCCGCCCCGGCGCTCCACCTAGGACCTCTTATGTACCACCACCACCGCCATCATCGTCTCAACGCCCAGTCACGCCACCTCCGCAAGGCATCAAACCCGCAACGGACCTTTACACCGTGCTTGGTGTTGGTCGAACTGCCACAGCCGCTGATATCAGGAAAGCGCACCGTGCTATGAGTTTGAAGTGGCACCCTGATCGCTGTCGTGGACAAGACAAGAAGAAAGCTACTGAGAAGATGGCGGAGATTAATCAGGCGAACGATGTGTTGTGTGATGAGGTCAAGAGGAAGTTTTATGATAGGTGGGGGGTATTGCCGAGTGAAGTGTAGAAGATAATGGAAAAAGTTCCACATTGTGTGAGATCGTTGATTGATGACAGCAATGGTTTGCTGTCTTACATGAAATTCATCCATCGCGGTCTAGGCCATTGCCACCCTTGCGTCTCCATCCGTAGACGAACTAGTAACATAGCTACTCCTCCTTCTCAAGGTACGACTCGACGCCAGGGTAGGAGCTGGTTATCTTGGAACGCGCCCTCACCGTGGCTTGTAATGCATCTATCAGAGTTTCTCTTGAATACGATTCCAAGTCTTCCATCCAGCCACCCCCTTCTTCCAAGTCATCGTACGATTTATGCGCAATGTCTGCAGCAATTAAGCGTCGTAGTGGAGATCCGGAAGGCGTGCCCTCGTAGACAATATTGACGCTCTCTGTTCCCATACACAAGTGGTACTTGTTTTGAGCTGCGAATATAGCCTTGAACATCGCGTTTTTGTACTTGACATCCATGATCCTCTCCCCAAATACATATGCTCGTGTCATTGGGACAAAGAATCGCTCTGCTTCGTTAGACCTCTTCTCATCGGTGACTCCGTTAGCTATGCCTGGGCCGATCGGAATCTCTCCAAGGTAAAGCCACTTGATATAGTCCGTGATAATGTCCGCCGAGTCCTCGGGAAGATCCAGGGTCTTTGGGTCGTCTTTCTGATTCGCCCACTCTGGCTTCATGGCTTTTCGAAAGAACTCTGAACTCTTGCAAAGAACACCGCGGTGAACTTGGAGACGCTCAGTATCCCCAGCGCAATTTGGGACGATCAGCTGGATGATGGCGTCTTTCGGACTACATTGGTCAGCGACAGTGAGTTGATCTTCGCGCTGCAGGGAATAATTACTCCATTTCGGTTGTTGGTCGAGGTTGTGGATTTGCGGATATGCACGCGCGATTTGCCGTGACTGAGGGAGCTGCTGCTATGGGGAAGCGAGAACGTCAAAGATAAAGGTAGCAGGGCTGACAAAGGTAAGTGATTTATGTGGGGCGCCGCCTGGGCCACAGAGATTCTGGGTGACTGCTTGTTCCGAATTGGGCAATGGAGGCATCAGTGAATGAAGTGAATGGTGGAAAGTTTGCGACTTGTTTTGAGACGCGCAAGTACGACAGAAGTACTTTCACAAACATCGCCCTATATTAAACGTTGGGATCACTGAATACCAGCACAGCATCTTTGGCAGAATTGGGTCAAGCTGGACTGTACCAGCTGTATTCTGAGTTGGAAAGCGACGAAGCTGGTATGAAGTGGGCTATTCGGGTACGTAGATCACGCAACGACTGGTCAGCCTAAAGAGCAAGGAGCGAGGAAGAGATTGTAGGATCGCAAATTTCAAACACCAACACTGTCAGGTAAGCAGAAGACTTCCGTATTGTAGATCGTACTATCGATGACTGACATCAACAAGGTACCCTAAGCTACCTTGAACAACAGCGGCCGGTGTGGACAAGCAAGCCTGTGAAGTCCACCGATATTGGACTGCTACCGAAGCAGCCAAACATCGCGACATAGCCCTCAACGGACAGAATGACATCTCTCTTCAACTAGATCCAGAAGTCGAACCCCTTAGCCACGTCTCCTCTCGATAAGGACGGCTGCTTGTTTGCAGAACCAGCTTTTGCCAGCGAAGCGTCGGTCTGGCAAGCCGCATCAATGTAATGGGGTTTCCGGCTTTTGTTTCCGCAATGCGAACATGGCCGAGAACCACTGGGAGTAGTCGAATCTTTAGAATTATAGTCAAGACGACGGGAATAATAAATAAGGGGTGACTGTTCGACTACCGTCTTCCGCTTTCTCGTTGTGTGGTCTGACCCAGCGGATCGAACACTCAGCGCGTCTGGGTTGGATTTGGTTGGCGAGACTTGGGGACGTGTACGGGACGACGCGCTCGGTTTGTGATCTTTGGGATGGCTTGCGTCACTCCGCGAACTACTCATGCCGTTTGCAATATTTGGTTGTGGGCGTGATGTTTGTACTGAGCCGAATGCAGCTGCATCACGCGCAGCCTTTTCTCTGCGGTCCTTGCATAATTTTCTGTTATTCTCCTTGATCTCTTCTCTCTTCCTTTCCTCTTCTTCTTTGTAAAGACCTCTGGTGGGGCGATGAGTGTAGCTTCGTCCTGAATCGAAATTCTTGTGACTATCTTCGCCTTGGTCACGCGGCATATGTGAGGTGGAACTGGTTGGTGAAGCCTGGGTGCGAGTGCTGAATGACGCGCCCAGTTCTTGACTTTCTGGAGTACTTATGGCACGCCGCGAAGTGCGCCTGATGTTTGCCATAATTGATTTCAAATCTGTAGCTTCCCGAACAGCCTTTTCCTGTAAGTCGTTTTGTAAACGCAGTTGGCGTTTTATATCCGCAATCATCCAATTTCTCAGCCGTCTCTCATTTTGTTCGTCATAACCACTGAGAAAGCCATCGATGTAATCTTTCGTTAGACCGTGGTCTTCAAGAGTGTCTTTCATATAGTCAGCAACGGGTCATAGATTATGAGGGCGCAAATAGCTTACCTCGATGACGCTCGCCGTGAACAGTATGCCGATCTGTTCCGTGAGATACTCGAGCTTTCTCGTGGTGCTTTCTAGCCTCGTTGTTCGTGGGAACACTCTCTTGCGACAAGATGCGGTTTTCTTGTTTGGGCCTCGAAGCTAGCTTTTCACGAACGCCCCCGGCTCTTCCATGGACGCTGCTCTTGTCGGATTCTGGTTCCAAACGATGAAGAGCGCCTGTCTCGGGGTCCTCCTCTTCCACGTAAGCTTGCTTGTCAGGTTTGCTTCTCCCGCGATCATGGTGTGTAGCAGGGTCGCGCAAATGATGCTTTACGCGTAATCGTTCGCTTTCTGAACTCTCTGCCAGCGTATCGTTAACAAAAGACCCTCTCGATGTCACCGCACCAGTCTCACCAGGTTGGCGTGGTTTCAGTGCCTTCTGTCTCGTGAAGCCCACATCATGGTATTTCTCATCAGACCGTGTACTGTCGTCATTTGGTTCCCGGTTCATGGCGCTGCGATTGAGAATATAGTCGTGGATGTGGAGATGTTCAGGAACAGTTGTTCATCGAAGAAGTTTTATATCACATCCAAATGAGTCCACCACGGTGGTCGAGTGACTGGCCCGAGTAGGAGTAGTCATGGTCGTTGACGGCGTCTGGGAGAGACGTGTGAGAGAAGCCGCGTTGTAGATGTGTACACGTTGAGTCTTCGTTTGACGCATATTGGTGTATGACAATACGCGGACGGCATGATGACTCCAATGTTCTACTTCTCATCAGATATCGGCTGAGAAGGCTGAATCGGATAGAGAAAGAGACCCTGCGAAGATGCGTGCAAATCCTGGCCCATGAGATTGCGGCGTTATCAGGCGCATGAAATGCCTGATCCTTTGCGCCACCGCCAGATGCCCTCACCTTTGGGGCCAACAACAATCGCATTGAGCTTGGACTCCAGAGTTTAGATCGATCGCAGCGGTGACGAAAGCCCGACTTGAAATGCCACGTATTTTGCGCTTGAAAAGTCACCTAAATGGGAGGGCGCAGCGCATATTAGATCCGCGGAGCAACTCACCATGGACCGTGTAATCAGTAGATCCTTGGACGCGACCGTTTTGGGTGAAGACTTAATGCTTGTGGTGTTCGAATGTCATCGTGCGTCGAAACTTGTTGAAGTAGTGGTCCAAGACATGCGCAAAGGGCAGCCCCTTGCCGCAGCCCTTTGTCTTCGCATACGCCCCTGCCCTCAGTTTCGGCCGACATTTGTGAGTGCAGATTGGTCCAGAGTCATTCGCGCTGCAGGAAGAGAAACATTGCCGAGCTGCACCAATTGTAAATTTAGCAGCCGGCAGTCGCTTCTGTCCATATCTAGTGGGTTGATGCCCACGATTGTATTTACCAGCGTCCTCGACAAGTTCCAAACACCTCAAGAGAGCTGCGAATCCAGTTTATGTGCTCACGACGAGTAAAGACACCGTCAGTACTGTATGACAACCGGAAAGACACGGGAGAAAGAGACCCATGACGTCCAGATCTTCAGAATGGCTCAGCGGCTGTCGGTGGATTGTATAACGACCTTGGCGAGCGAGAGAGCAGACATGGGATGTGCGGAAAGAGAAGGAGAGCACGAGCGTGCCAGGCCTGTCCTATCTCGCAGACACACTGATCCCATACCTTTTCGAACCACGAAGCCAGATCTGGATGTCGCGACGAATAACATATCCAATGGCGACTCTCACGTTACTAAAGACGCGAACTCGCTAGTGTATCGCCGCGCACTTTATGCGCAGTCGTCTGGGAAACAGTGCTCGGAGAGTACGATCGCAGATCCGCCACTGCAGTCAGAGTCTTCGTACCCGAAGAGTAGCCTGATCTCGTCAGCCACACGGCCTGATGCCTGCGTCTCAGGCGATCACCGCGTCCTTGGCGAGCGTATTGGAGCTCGAGCAAGAAGCCTTTTGAAATCGACGATTAGTATAAGGCACTCGACATTGGAGAATATTCGCAAATCCGTCGTGCAGGCAAGCGACTTCCGCCTGCCTCCTCAACAGCCGGAGAAACGCTTCGTTGACAACATCGGGATTTTGTTTCCTGGGGTCTCCGACCGTCAACAATGTGCTCGATCCGAAGCGCATTTTGTGACATCCTTTCGCCTCTGCGAACCTACAGAGTACACAACTGCGCTGGCAGACCATGGTCTTACGTACGAAGATTATCGTCGCTTGATAACTGCGCTGAGGGACTTTTTAAACAAGATCTGGACGGGAGTAAGGAGAAAGAAATGTGCTGGACCGGTCGTGGCATCCCCTGCTGAAGCCGGTCAACGCAAGACTTCCGGAAAGAAGCACGGGCCAGGCAAATGCGGCAGATTTTGGGATACAACCGAACAGCTGAAGAAGAACCAGCAAGAGGCTGTCGCACTCAATCAGCTACTTGAAGAGATAACATGGAATCTTCAAGCCAGGGGCGTTTCGGTGATGGTTTGCGTGCATTCGTTTTCGCTTTTCGCGCCCTCTCGTGTCTCAGAGTCACATATCCAGATTCTCCATGTCGACCGCGACCAAACCTTGCAAGCGGCACTGATGTCTGCGCCTCCAGCCAAGCCGAGTCAGCGTATGGGTCAGCGTCTGTCCTTCATCGATGTATTTCCATGCGCTGAGTCTGGACCAAGACCAACACTTGGGCGTCAAGCAATGTCTGCGGGGGAGACGATCAGGTGTGCAGATGACCTCATCCCCCAGCACGCACAAATTCGAGATCGTTCGAAGCCATATCCTCTTTGTCCCAAAGCTGTCCCGCTTCGTAAGCGGGAGGTTCTGAGTGCCAATATCGATCGATACGGTGTCGATCCTTACTTTCGAGCCTGGATGAGAGCAAGCATCAATGCCAGCACGCGGCGCAGTACATATGCAAAGTATCTGGCTGAGATGGAAGACGACCCTCTAGTGAATAGGAGGAAGCAGTATGCCGACACTACACTGAAGCAAGATATCATTGCCGCGCTGGTGAGCGATGATCGGGCGTGGAAGGAGCAGTTTCCTAGTGCCGTGAACAGAATCAGCTACGAGCATAACAGAAGATTGGAATGCCGTCAGACGGTGGAGCGAGGAACCAGACTCCGAGTACTGCGCTTCGGATTCAGACATCCCATCTATCCGCCTCATACACCTGAAATGGACGCCCTCGGTCTCAACAAGCATGCGTACCACGCGATCTTGACGGATATCGACCGAATGCACACGAAGCTGCGCCTCAACACGAGATGTCCGGGAATGTATGTGGTAGCGTCGGTGATGAAAGTTCGGCGAAAGGGGACTAAAGACGCAGTTATGAAAGCGAGGGAGTACATCCGTCTATTGAACG